TATTCATAAGAAATTATATATTATACATTGGTATATGCAGGAAGGAAAGTAATTTTTGATATACATTTTAATATACACAAAGAAGGATAATAAATTTGTGATATATATTTTGATATACACGTTTTATTATGTATTATACAGTGTGATATACAAATAATATAATTAGTTTTTTGTGATACACTTGGATACAAAGATAATAATAAATTATAGACAACTATCGAAGGAAAATAAATTTTTGATATACACAAAGAAGAAAAATAAAGTTGTAATGTATATATTGGTATACACGTTATTTAACATGTTATACAGTATGATATACAAAAAATAAAATTTATTTGTGTTATACACTTGGATATACACTATGATATACAAACTATATTTATAATTTTTAATGCTTGTGAGAAATAATTTAAAAACCTAGAAAAAAGATTGTAGAGATTTGGGAAAAAATCTTGAAAGATTTTCGAATTCTAACAAAAAGAAAATAAAAGCCTATTTTTAGGGTAATGGTTGGACCATTAGAAGAGAGAGAAGATCATTAAATGTTAAATTTAGGTTACGTGTGCCAAATGCTAAAAGATAGTCTATTTTCTGTCAATTATTGGACTAAATTGTTATGCAATGCCAAATCCTCAGGAAAAAATTACTCCAAAATCAGGAATAATAAATAAAATAAAATTTTATATCAAAACGACTTCCCCCTTGGCTTCATTCCCACCATGGCCTCCTCCACCTCCACCACTTCTCCCTTTTAAATCATTTCTTGATTTAAACATGTCTTTTTCGTATTTTGTATTTTATTATTTTACAACTTGCCCTTGATATATGCTAGTATTAAGTTTTTATTTTATGTTATTTGCACATATTTTTTGAAAAATCATAAAACATTTCATAGCATCAAAGTTGTCATTATTTGTGTCATAGATTCCATTAATATTCAGCACTCCGAAATTGACCTCACTTAGATTATTATACTTTTCCATTTTTCCTAAATTCTTTGTTTTCAACACATGTCATTCGTTTCTTATCTCCTCCTCTCTCTATTTTTTGTTTCCCACTCGGTATTCGGTACCCACATTGGGGTCTGACTAGATTTAGATTCGTGCCGAAAAATCCCACATTGGAATATAAAGCGTTCCCTAACAAAGGCGACTCCATACCCAGGGGCTCGAACTTGAGACCTCTAGTTAAGGATAAGGAGTACTTACCATTCCACCACCAAGCTTTGTCGGTCCTCCTCTCTCTTTCTTTCTCTCTTTCTCTCACGTTCCACCCAATCCTTTCTTTTTGTCACCATTTATTTGTCTCGAGTATGAGTTTGGAATCGGTTCATTTTATATGATTGTAAATTGTAATTATACACTGAATTTAAAATGTTAATTTAGTTTAAATATTATAGCTATTCGAAAAAAAGGAAACGATTAACATGATAGTATGATACTCACTTCATTTCAATTTTTGTAAGGTTCATTTCATTTAAATAGTTAGTATATATTTGTATATAAGTACTGAAATTAAAAATAAAAAGTTGATGTAGTAATAGCAATTTTTATTAAAATGACTAAAATACCTTTAGAATATGAATATTTATAAAAATATAAATAAAAGAATATCTTTACAAATAGAAGAACAAACAATTGAAATAAAATGGATAGAGTTACGAGTTTTATTTTGGAAGAGTATTTTGAGAATAAAAATTAATATTATGGATAAATTAATAAAAAATTTGGTTAAAGTAAAAAAATCACAATTTTGAATCCTTTCCCACAAGCTTTCCACTTAACTTCGTTGATGACTCGAATCCGCAACCCCAATTAAAGTTGGAGAGTACTTACTAAAGTAAATACTTATTCAAACTCGATATTTACGTCATACTTATAAGTGCATGACATATATTCTCAAATAAATTCCTCTCACTTAATTATGATTAATAAATTATATATTTTTACCTAATAAAATTACTTAATTATTAGTAAATTAGGTATAAACAAGTGATGTGAGTAAGTTTTTGGCAACGGGTTTGACCCAAGAGGAGTACCGGGAATCTAGGAACCGTCGATTTGGCTGTCATTTCCTCCTTAAGTAGTTAAGATCTATGTATTTTGCCAAATAAAATGGATTTATAAAAGAACAAACATTTCACCTTCAATTTGCTTTATTCCTTTGATTCATTGACCAAAATTTTGCGATGGCACTGCAACAGCAGCAAGAGGATGAAGATCATGAACTAGTGTACACACTGGATGAAGCACTTACATCATTGGGTTTTGGCAAATTCCAATATTTGGTGTTGGTTTATGCGGGTCTTGGATCTATGGTTGACGCTGTTGAAGTTATGATTCTTTCTTTTATTGGACCAGCTCTTAAATCTCAGTGGGGACTTTCTTCTACCCAAGAAAGTCTTATTACTACTGTTGTATTTTCTGGAATGCTCATTGGTGCTTACTTTTGGGGTCTTGTTGCTGACAACTATGGCAGAAGGCAAGCCTTTTTTCCTTTTCTCAGTATTTTTGCCCCTTCCCCCTACCTGCGCATATCGGGAGTTTGGTGCACTGGGCTGTGTTTTTTATGGCTTGTTTCAATTAGGCATAGTGAAAAGTTTGTGTTTTTCTTACTCTTTTTTTTCAAAAACGTACCATAATATTTTTGTGGCTTTAACACTTTTGAAACTTGTGATTTTTGACGTTTATGCGGCTATAAAAGCTTCTCATTAAAAGTATAATCAAAAGTTTTGAGTTAATTGATTTGGAACGGACTGATAATAAATTGGAATAGAGGGAATATTATAAACGGACCCAAGATTTGAAAGTCGCAGGTGCACTTTTGGATTTAACTAAAATCTGCTTTGTATATAGGGTGTCCACTACTAATATATTACTATTTTCTAAGGACATATACATGTATATATGAAATATTTGCCGAATTTTATGGGTGCCGGTGACCCCCTCTGTATAGCATAGGTCCGCCTCTGATTATAAAGGGCTATGTGGCTAGTAAATAATCATATTGTGAGTGATTATAGTTGTAGCCTGTAGGTCAGTCAACTTGAACCTGATCAGTTTCTTAAATGCCTTAAATGTTTTCTCAAGCTTTTCTTTACTGCTATTGTTATTGTTGATGAATTTGGTTACCAAATGCAATATTTATTTTATGAACGAGAAATCCATACGGGACCAACCGCACCGCCTTTGAAACTGGGGATGATGGACCACTCCTCTATTCTTCTCCATATAAATACCAGGCTTAGTTCGTATGACGTAGGGCTCGAACATGTGACCTAAGTCACAAGTCCCTCAATTTTTGCCACTTGAGCTAATCCGTGGTTATTAAATGCAATACTTAGTTGTTCAATAAATGATAGATGCATTTGCTCAATAGTTCTTTGGTTTAAGTTTGTCATATCTGTGCACTGAAAATGATTATCCACTTTCATTTTCCATCACCAGGAAGGGTCTTCTGACTGTGGCAATAGTGACTACCATATCTGCATTTCTGAGTTCCTTTTCTCCAAACTATATATCACTGCTCATTCTTCGTATGCTGGTCGGAATTGGTCTGGGTGGTGGGCCTGTATATGGATCTTGGTTTCTTGAATTTGTGCCTTCTAAAAACAGGGGCACATGGATGGTTATCTATTCAACTTTTTGGACAATTGGAACAATACTTGAGGCTTTATTGGCAATGGTACATCCTTAATTTGCTTGTGATATGCACTGCTTATCTGAAGAAATCATTCTCCTCTTCTCAGGATTTTGCACAAGATTATCATTTTATCTACACTCACCTGGTCCCCTTTGTTAAATCGTGCCAACTCAGATGAGCTTAAGTTAGGATGGATTAGCTGGTCAAACTATCCATCTTTTTTACTTTCTTGAAATTAGCTTTCCCTGAGGTCCACGTGCAGATTTTAAAGGATGACTAGAAGTCTATCATCCAAATGTGGAAGGTGCTGTATGT